TTCTGATCTTGCAAGGCAGGACTCTACGTCTCTATACATAAAATGTTCGGACATTACATAAGTTACAGTCCCGTAGGTGTTTTTCAGACGATGCAATTTTTTTCTGCTCCAGGAAGGTTGCTGTGACTGACTGGAGTCTGTTGGTAGCACTGGGGCTTGGCCTGTGGGTGAAACCTCGCTGAGAGTCAGGATGTGAGCTCTGTGATGTGACACGGGAGGACCAGGTGGAGGTCCTGTTGGTAGCCAGAACTGGGCAGTACAGAATTCTGTGCTTTGGTTCTTGGGCATTAAAACACAGCGACTTCAGGTTCATAGAAAAATAGGCTTGGTTGTGAATCCTTGAGAGGTTCTCTAGTCCAGTGCCATCCTCTGAGGCAGGATTATCTTCATGTGAACTCTGCTGACAGGATTTAATCTGTAATTTCCCAGAGATGATTGTGCTGACGTCAGTTTTCTAAAGGTTTTCTGAATCTCAGCTCACCTTTTGCTACAGTTTCAGTTACTGGGTTTTCTGCTCTTAGCAGACAAGGCCAAGCTGCAGTCCTTAAAGGTACTTTCTGAGAGTTTTTCTAAATGTGGTGGTATCTGTCGCATTGAGCTGTGGACCACTGAGGCCTTGCCAGCTCCTATTTGCTTGGGCTTCTGGATTATTACTACTCCTGGAGAAACAAACAAAAAAACCTGTCCTAAAGCCTTATAACTTAATGGTCTGTTGCCTGTATGTGGAGAGTCCATTTTGCAAAGATGGAGTAATGGCTGTACATTTAACAAAGTCACTTGGAGGTGGCAGGGGAAATACCTTTGCATCATTCTGATGACACTCCTGATACTATGCTGGCACAGTTTTCATGTGAAAAGCTTAGGTAGCTGCTTTGCACCAGTTACAACTAGTCCTTGTTGTCATGCATCATTTTCAGGGTTTCAGAAAGGAGCAGGGCAGATTAGGAGAGGGTAGCACACAAGATTCTCGCCTTGGACAGCTTTATGATTCTTGTGACCGGTTTCCATAGCAGGAAAATACGCAGCTTTGGTTAAACCTGTTACATGTGACTTTGTTGTTGTGCTTTAAAATGGTTCCTGGATTTCACAGCTGTGTTGTGCAGAGAAAAATCTGCCGTTGCCAGGTACCAAGTGGGTGTTGCACTGGTTTGCCCAGATAGGAACTGCTCCTGGAGCCAAACGGCAGCTCTCCTGCCTTGTCGTGTGTGCTGGCACCGTCGCCGGCTGCCCGATGAGCTGATTCACCATGCCAAAGCAGGCTGCACTGCTGGCATCTCAGCATGATTGAGGGTATAAAATGAGATTGCTGCCTGGGTGCAGCTGGTAGTTGGGAGTTTGTGTATCATTAGTCCTGAACCTAAAGGGAATTCGTGTTTGGAGCTGAAGATCCCAGCATGTGCTGGGATTCCTTTTGTCCAAAACCACATGCCTTTGGGAAAACTAATTGAGCAGTGATTTTTCTGCCAGATCTAACAGTGATCCTAAAGATGTTTTTCCATGGAGAGTGGTGCAAGTGGGGGCTTGTGGGCCATAGGTACTCATCCACTAGCAAAAGAAGCCTGATCGTCATCACAGTGTTGATTAAATTATCACCTCTTGTCTGTAATTCCTGTCGGCAGTTTTTCTTCCTGTTTCTGAACATCCACCAAGCCTTTAAAACAAGAACAGTGGTTCATGGTTGCCATTTGGAGTAAGGTGGTGACAAGGAAGGAAGGAAGTTTTTGTAGAAGTGAGTGATGTCTCTGGGGAATATTTGTAGTAAAAACCTGAAAATATTCCCCCAGCAAATCTCAGGAACTGTTTTCTGAAGTGGAGGAATAGGCCACATGAATTCCTTTTCTGTGCTGATTTGGATAACCTGTTGTGTTGCATCTTCTCTTTGAATGGCCTCAGGAGGTTGCCATGCACCTCTGTAGGCCTTCCTCCTGCCAGGCTGCTTTATGGTCTTCGCTGCTGCATTTCCCTACTTGGCTTTGTCTCTTCTGACTTCTCTAAGGAAGTCAATACTGTTGTCTCCTTATTTGTGCTTGCCATAACTTCTGAATATAAGTATGTATTCATCAATGGTTTAAATCTTTTTTTTTTTTCTTCCTGTCAGGCTTGTTTCTGCTTTCAAGAGCAGCTAAAAGCATTGTTTCCCTCTAACCTTCCACTTAGCTCTCCATTGTAGGCCACTAAGGCTCTGAATCTCTCTGTCTGTGACTGTGCTTTTAACTGATAATAGCTAATCACAGCCTTTTTGCAAAACAGCCTACAATATATTTTCTTTCCCTTGCTCTTCTGCTGGCCTGCTCTGTTCCCTTTCATTTTGATTTATAGCTCTGCACATGGGTATGTTAATGGAAAAACCTTGAAGGGACAGATTGTGTATGTACAGACAGCCACTTCAGAAAGGATATGCATGTAGCTGCTTGGATTTCTATGTATGTACTGCATTACGGCTTAGAGGAGCAAGCGGGGTGTGCATTTAATTTAGTAAATATCTCCTAACCTGTCACAGTGCTGCTTGTTTTCTCTAGAGCATATGCTCTGATGGGAGCTGTTGATTCAGCAAAAATAATGATAGCCAGTAGAGCTGATCAAATGCTCCAGAAATAGTTTATCCCACCAATTATTCAGTGACTGCTGCAGATTCTTATCACGTAATTGTTTGACCACTTGGTGGTTTGTGTGCTCCCATGCTGGAGCTTGCAGCGGGGGGCTTTGTGTCCTGCTTTGCTCACAGCAGGTGGGCTGGTGCAGGGTACAAAGGTTCCTAAGCACCCCCAGGGTGCTATGGGTGGAGTGGTGAGGCAGGTAAGAGTCTGGAGGCCCTGTTAAAGGCTTGAAGTTCTCAGAACAATTCCAAGTTGGAACCTTTCAGTTAGTGAAGCCACAGAGACCTGTTGAGAGCCGCTAACAATTCACATTAAAGATGTTACTCCTGATTTTTTGCCCACGGGTTGGGCAGTACCGCAGTTGTGCCAGCAGAAGGGATCGTGTGGGCATGCACTGAGAGGTGAGTTTGGTGAACCTGTCTGGCTTTGCCTGGAGCTGAACTTGCGCAGTCTGTGGCTGCAGGAGCGGCGACCTCCAGCAGAAGCCTGCAGGTCCTGTGGGGGTGTGGGGAGCAGGAGTCTGGCTGTGCTGTGGTGTGTGCTTGCACAGAGCTTTGCCAGCAACATGGCAGTTTAAGAAGTTCATGTACACCCCAGTAATTCATTCCTGCCTCCCTGCCACCACAGCAGTAAAAGTCAGGAAATTCAGGTTCAAAAGAGTGTGATTTAGGACTTCTTAGGTTTTTGTTTTTATAAGTGTGAGTATTCTTAAGCCTACTCTGGGTGAGGAGAGGAGAAACCCCTCTCATGTTTTCTGTAGGAGGACTGTTTGCTGTCTGAAGTGACACAAATATTACCTCAACCAAAACAAACCTATTTTGGTGAAACACACACTGGATTTTAGAAGTGTTCCCAGTTACATAGGCTGCTGGTAGCTTGATGCATTTTATACCCTTTGCAGATGTCTCCATCTGAAAGAACTGGGTTCACAATGAGGTCAGCACTGGAGCTGCTCTAGGCCTCCTGTAACCCCGTTACCATGATCAAATGCTGTACTTAGTGGTGCTGTGGAAAGCCAGCTGTCTGGAGAACCTGCAGCTTGGACAGACCTTTCCCCTTCCAGGGAGTGATCCGTAAGGAGCTGTGCTTGGAGGACATGGATGTTTTCTGTACTGCTGCAGGTCCTTCTCATACAGAGTATCAGGCTTGTGGGGTTTGCTATTTTTTTTTCTTCTTCCCCAGGGACTGATACTTTATTCATAGAATGCTTCCGGTTAATTATGAGTATAAATCTTACGTGATACTGATACAGGAATTATTTGTCAAATGCTGGGGGCACTGTGTAAAACTGCACACTTAAGAGACCTTTTCTTCCACCTGTGGTTGTTACTGTCACCTGCCTGGTTTGAAATGATCTCTTGGGAGCAGCGCTTTTCCTTTCCTGATGCTGAAGTTTGCTTGCTGGGGATACACAACATCACAATACCTCCTGATGCTGGTGGGTGGTTTGGGCATTGATCTGGGTAGAGGTAGGCAATAACAGGGATGGGCATGTGGCAAGTGGCAGGGAACACCCAAGACACAGGGAAATCAGTTGAATTGCTAATTAAATACTTGGCTTATGCCTCGTCTAGTAGTTGTCTGCTCAGCAGTGCTTCTACCACATGAATGTTTATCATGAAAATCCCCATTTCCCTTTTAGAAGTGAAGGAAGATCAGGCCTGCAGGTCTGTCCAGGATAATGACTTGCTGGTGCATGGTCAATTTGCATTGCAGATGTGGTTTCCTCACAAGCTGTGGGCAGGCTGTGATCTCCGCACCTGTTCCTGGCTGTTGTGCACTGCCCTGCCCCTCAGGTGCCTCTAAGCAGGACAGCTCTCCCCAGCTGCATCTTCATTCCCTAGCCAGGCCTCCCTAGTAGGGGTGGGGAGTGGTCCCCTTGGACCAACAGAGAAGGGCTGTGGTAAATAGAGTGAAGTTGTGGTCCTAGTGGTGCCCCAGAATGGTATCCTTGGCGAGCAGAGCTTTAGGAGGTGCCATTAACATGATTGCCTCCCATAAAGCGTCTCTTCTACATAGTGACCTATTTTACAGGGAAGAAGAGGGGAGAGGAGCTTCCCTTGAAGGTTCCAGAACACAGCAGCAGTCTGAAGGCTCTGCATTGCAGCCTGGCTTGGGAGGCCTCTCTGGGGACTTGTTCAGCAGGGAGCCTGTGGGGCAGAACAGTCAGTGCCACTGGCACTTCCATGCTTCTTCTGTGGGAAGCTGTGGGGTGAAGGACAGGGCTGGTGCGGGTGTAGTTTCATGATGCAGGTGCTTTGGTGGCAGTATTCGTTTACAGGTTCCCCACTGCACCCTCGGCTGCTCGCTGTGGTTTCTAGAATCGGGTAAGCCTCTTCTTGTGGTGGCACAACTGCTTTGCACCGAACAGGTCTACATTTAAAGCAAAAACAAAACTCATCCTTATATTTCTTGCTTTATTACCTTTTAAACTATTTTTTTTAAGACCTAGATCTTTTCTTCAGTTAGTGAAGCCAAATAGAAATTTCTATCACTGACAGCCAAAGAGGCAGTGTGGTGTTGGGTGAGAAAGGAACCACTCAAGTGTGTGTGAGGAACATGCTCAAGTGTGGTGAGCTCCACCTTGCTGCAGAATCATTTTCTTGGTGATTGATCATCCCTAGGTTAGGTGGAAGTCACAGTGAGAGTTTATGTGGCAGTTTGTGCTACTCATGCTATCTTGTGCACTGAGAAGAGAGCAACTTGTTTGGAAAAAGAGGGATTTGAAAGTTGCAAGCCAAGAGCGAAATGTCTCCTAATACTACCTCAATGCCTGTAGCCACGGCCCCGTGGCTGTTGGCAGTTGTTGGGGTGGGATTCGGCCTGGTCTTCACACTTGGGCCTGAGTGCACAGAGCTTGTGTGAATTGGAGTCTGTGAGAATACTTCACTCTAACAAAATGTAACTAAAGGTGTAGCTCAGTGCCATGTTTTCTTTAGCAACAAAACCTTTTCACAAAAAAACAAAGCCAACTGACAAAACTATTCTTGTTCTAATGGCCAGGTGTTTCCCTCGCACCGCTTTGCTGTCAGACCCACCTGTGGGCCTACAGTGTAAATGGCATTATCGAAATAATCAGAGGTGGTTGTTTTTTTGTTTAATGGCCTCTTAAAAGGAGGAAAACTTGTTCTTGAACTATATCATCCCTCAGCATCTTAGTGTTAAAAAGCATTAGAGATCATTACTGGCCTTGCAAGTGTGTTTGAGGAATCTGTCTCCACCCTGAAACCAGGGAGAGGAGAGGACAGGAGAGGCAGTGTATTTTTGGCAAAGGTTCCATCATGTATTTACATATTCTGCTGAGACGAATTGCCTGCAATGGCCAAACCCAAGCAATACAGTTCTATTTTTTTTTCCTGCAGCCTTGTTATAGCTATGAAGTACTGAACAGGGAAGCAGATCTGAGACCGTTTAAATATTGCTTTGTTTGGCAGCTTATCAAGATCCTTCTTGACCTTTCCTTCATCCAGCAAAGTAATGCTTAAATATCTGTGGCAAGTGTTCAAGTTAATTGTTAGGGTTGATTTGTTGTTAATAGCTGAGGAGAACATGCTTGACCACATCAGCATCCTCAGGGCAGTGGTACTAATGGTGTAGGTCCTGCTATAGTTGGGAAAACTGCTGCACAGGCCGGTTATGATAGCAGTCTCTCCTTGAGGCTGAGGAATGACAGATAACAACCTTAATGAAGCATCACAGTTTTTGATCAGGGCTAGAGCTGAAGCCTTGCCTCATCAGGTAGATGCTTTGGAGCTGTTGTTGAACTTTTCATATTTACAATGCAGTATTATCCTGCTGTGCAGTGCTAGTTCTCCCTTTCTGAACACAGCACCATGCATGGAGCTAGGGCAGTAATCACAGAAGCAATTCTCATCCAGCTAAATGTGCAGAATGCTAGTGCAGCTCTGTCAGTCCCAAGGCTGCCTGAAATCAAATGCTTGGAACAAAGCATCTGATGCATTAAATGGATCGGCATACTGCCAAGAATCGATGTGCAGTGGTGGGTTAAAATAGAGTCCCTCCCTGAGGCTGTGTGAGGAGGGACAGTTCCAGGAAGATTGGTGCTAGAAACACGGGCTGTGTTTCACAAACCTCAGTGCTGCACAGGTGTTACAAGCAAGGTGATGAGGATACTGGTAAGCAGGATCTGGCATCAGTTGGGAAACAGTGCCTGAGAAAATACCTCTTTGCAAGCCACAACTTTATCAGACTATGTGAAGCACATAGGTACACGTCATTGTATACATCTAAACTCAAGAGCTCGTGATCCAGAAGGTTATGTTCTTATCCTCAGTTGCAATTTACTTCCAAGATGTTACTCTGATCAGGATTTTATTTTTCTTTTTTAATAGCCGAACATCTTTCTCTCATGAGAATGTACTATATCTGTACTGGGCAGAAAGGAATGATGTGAATTTGGGCAGTGCCAGGCATTTCATTGTCACAGCCGAGGGTCTTCATGGCATAAAAATAAGGTGAAATCTGATATGTTCTCCACCATCAACTTCAGCAGAAAGTGCAGCATCTATCAGGAACTGTGAGTCCTGACATTCATTCTGCAAAAAGCAATGACACTAAAATGACATGCCGAATAGGTTAGTCATTGGTAATTTAACTCAGCAAGGGGAAACTAGCTTGAAAATGAGAAGGTCATGTTGCGTTGCTTCTCTAGTTTCCCAAGCTAAGATTCACTCTGTGTCCCTGAAAGACCTAGGTAAAGCTAAAATTAAGTCACTCAGATAAATATTTATAGGAGATATGTTCGGATATAATTCTCAAGGGGTCCACTTGCTCTCTCTGTGCTCTGAAATGTACTAAAGGGGAAATAATAGCACTATAAATACAATCTTGTTTAGCTAGGTCATTACCTTAGAGCTGTTTATCATAGTTCTCTAGGAACTAGAGTTGCAACTGTGAAAATACTATCAGGGAACTGAAAAACCCATACAGGGTGATCACTTTGGAAATGATACTTTGGTTGTGATACTTGAGTTACACAATGGTCCATCATTACAGCAGCAATCAGGTTTAAAGCCCTTGTATGTGCAAGTCATAACAGTAACTAGTGCAGCATTCATACAGGTCGATCAGACTGTTTTGGTGCAGATTTCTTTGGACAAACCTTGGCCATAAGCTCCTTTTTTTTGTTGTTGTTTTGCTTGTGTATTTTCCCTGTATTTATTTTTCCCTACATTGGAAAACAGAACAGTGCACAAGAATTTAAGGATTCAGACAAATAACGTAATTTTGTTATTTTTCAACTCTTGGATTTCCATGACAATTTATTTACACATCTTCCAAAGTAATATATTGGACACTCTACAAACAGACAAAAATGCCACTTTTTGTAGAAAATTAATTTATCTTATTTGGTTTTGCTCTTGCCCTTGTAGGAGCAAAACTTAGTGACTTAGGACTCTGTTTCCCCTGTAACTGGCTGTTCAAATTTCAATAATAAAGTATATGGAATTTGCAAGAGTTGAAAATTGTTTATACAGAAAGTAAAAGGATCAAAGTCATAAATCCCCAGTTTCTGTGGGAAAACTTGAAGGTTAATGTGCTGTTCCTTTGACCAAGCAGTTCTTGGGATGTGAAAGCCTTACCAGGAATTTTGAGTTTTGCATTTGGTGTGAACATTTCCCAAGGAAGTCAGGAATAGGGGATGCATCCTGCTCTGGGCTGCACGAGCCTTTCTGGTTGCGTGTTCGGAAGCTCTGCGTCCAAAGCAGTCAGGAGGGAGTTGTGCAAAAGGATTCTTGTATTATTTTCCAACAGCGAAGCCAGCATTCACGCAAGGACTCTTTATCCATCCTCTTCCCTGTCTGGTAATTTGAGCCCGTGTTACCTCATTGATGTCACTTACTCTGTACTGGTTAGACCACAGCAACCTTGCCTGTTGAATTCCTCTTTTTAGGTAGCTCTGAAATTAAGTTTCTGTACCACAGCAGCCAGTGTAGCAGTTTTGAATGAGCAAGTCTTGTTTGTCCTTCCCATGACACCAATACAGACAAAAACCCAGCCAGCTGGTCCACGCATAGTGTTTTACTCTGCAGACATTACATGGAGTGTATTTAGGGTCATGACTATGTTTAGCATGTTTTTCTGAAACACCTGACAGACAATGGGGCCTTTGGCTTCTGAGCATCAACAGCACGTTGAAGCTGTGCCACTGAAACTTTCTTCTGTGTAATTGGTCTTTGGGCTGCATAAACAGCAAGGAATTGGAACAGGCTGCCCAGGGAGGTGGTTGAGTCACCATCCCTGGAAGTCTTCAAAAGGCGTTTAGATGTAGAACTTAGGGATATGGTTTAGTGTTGCTTCTTGTTTGAATTTGTCATTGTCCTGCTGCTGCTTTTCAGCTGTTACTTCTCTGTGACAACAGGAGCTCAGAATAACAAAAGCTTTCCTTTGCTGCCAACAATGTAGTACCACTGATGTGGAAGACAGAAGTGCACAAAGTGTGCTGTGAATGGTGTCCTGGCCTGTGATTCCTGGGGTCTTCAACCAGGTGTTGCAGCATATCTGAATAGGCATAAAGCAGTGACTCACAGCCACATGGAGAAGCACCCTGTAGCAGTGACAGATCTACTTGCTCTGACCCAGCAAAAGAGGTCTTGTACTACATTTTTTCTGAGTTTTTCTTCTTGTTTCTTTCCCAGGTGTCCAGTATCTTTTGTCTTTCGGGTTGTTACCTGGTTGCAACGGGTTGACTGGCCACAGTATGCAACTACAGACACTTACAGGATTTGTCCATGGCATGCTTACTGGCACAGGATCCAGGGCCTGACTCAACAAGTTTGTTGTTGTTGTTCTGGTTGTCCTCAGTGTCTTGAGTGCTTCTTTCTATGTTCTTCATTCGAGGAACTAGCCAGGACAAGGAAGAGCAGAAAGTGTTTTAGTACAGAGAGCACTGAACTGTGCGAACACAAACCCAGCCACTATAAGAAATGTGCTTAGAGTAACTTCACAGTCCCAGCACACACAAAGTCATTTCTCTATGGTAAAACATATTTGGCACAAGCATCATCCAGTTTCATCATTTGTCTTCACATCTGTGTTCCTACACTCTTTTTTTCCTTTCACCTTTGTTTTGGATCATTCTCTTGTGGTTACGTACTGCTGTGCTGAAAGGGAGGCTGTGGTCACTGCCTCCCCAAACACCTGCTGAGCTCTGGAAATTTTATCACAGAACAATCATCACCGTGTGGTGGGACTGGATAATACTCAAAATTCTCTTAATTTCTCTGTTTTTTCCAGGTGGATAGTTTGAAAATAACCTTGCTTAAAGAGACCTCCCACAGAAGTCTGTAAGAGTCTGGCAGACGCTAAAGATTAAATAAGTTGTTTCCTAATAGTTTCTATCAGCATTCTGAAAACAAGAACAAAAAACAAACAAAAAAAAACCACCAAGCCCAACAACAAAAAGCATTACTCTTCTTTGCTGAAGAGCTTTCAGCTTTGTGCCTGAAGACTCCATTTATCTGATCATGTGCAATAAGACTGACTTTCATGCGCTTTCCTTCTAATGTCAAGCCATAAAACAGCCTGGAGTCTGATACCAGCAGACCTTACCCAGCACTGTCTGCAGCAAACAGTGATTTCTTGCAAATAATTAAATCCCTGGGGAGCATCAATAGCTGGCTGCCTAACAGTGCATTTAGATAAGAAGGGAGGAACTGTAGGTGATGCAGGAGAATTACTTTGAAGAATATGCTGTCTCTCTAAAGCATTTTCTTCTGAGGGCAGATGTCTATCAAATCTGCTTCTCACCAATTAAATTTAGGATTGAAATTACTGCTACTGTAGAGCTTCAAGAGGTGCAGCCCTTCGTGAGCACACCAGCTTGTTGCCCCAGTCTTCCTCTGGACTTGTGCAGGCCGAGGCTGTGATCAGGCACGTCCCAAAGTACCACAGACCTGGCACGCTCTTCATGCTCCTGGCTGCCTTTGTTAACTGTGTGTGCAAGGGCAAGAGCTGGTGTCAAAGCTTTCTTAGCAGCTGCAACCCATTCCCATCCCCACGTGCTGAAAGCCTGGCACGGTGCTTAACAATCTCTTCTGAGCACACACTCGTGCTTGCCCCTCACACGGGGAGCAGACGCTTACTGGCTGGACCTTGAGACCGCCGTAGGAGCTGGGGGTGCTTCTCCCTTCTTTCTGTACACCAACCTGTTCCATCTCAGAGGAGCTAAACACTTGCAGCTTCTGCCACAGTTAATGGGAGCTGTGATAAGAGCTTAGCAATCACGGAAATCCAGACTTCAGTTGTACTCCTGGGAAAGAAGGGAGATGTCTTATCCTGTTACAAAGCTTTAAAAGCCTTGGTAGTGCAGTGGAAGTGGTTTGTAATAGCAGGAATTCATTTGTTAATAAATTTTCCCTTGCTTGTCCCATCACTAATTCAGCACAATTCCAGTGCTGTAAGGTGGTCAGTGCTCAATGTTTCCATTTTGGGGTCTTAAAAAGAGCTTCCTAGCTCCTTTCAGTAAAGATGTGATAACAGATGTACCTGTTTATAAGCTTGATTTAACAGCTTGTTTCCTTTTGGAGTATATGCGATACATAGAGAATAGCAGCTGGGATATTTTTAGGGCAGTAAGTTCAAAGAAAATATATAGGAAAGAGGGCTTGACTGTATAAAACACCAATAAGCACTGGCAGGGAGAAGAAGAATGTTTTAATGGATCTCCCAGGTTACTGAGGAAATCCCAAGCAGCACCCCGCTGTTCCTTCTGTCTGGAAGGCAGAGGGCTCTGCTCTTCTTCAGCCTCACCTGGCTCCCGGTGGCAGGGCTGGTGCTGGCAGCCGCTGCAGTCTGCTGTGCCGTGGCAGTGTCCAGAACAGGTCCTGCTGCCCACAGCCCCGTCCAGCGCTCAGCACCTCTTCGTCAGCCTCGAGCTCTGATGCTGTCAAGAGCAAACAGCTGCAGCAGGTAACCCCAGGCTCGCTGGGGCAGCAGGGGACGTGTCCGCATCTTGGATGCTTCAGTTCTTGGCCCGGCATCCTAGCTCAAATCTCTCTTTGGTGGCAGTTGACTGCGCACAACTGGGAATGGAGCTGAGGGAGATGCAGACCCAGGAATAGTGTTTTCTGTGGGAGGGGCCAGAAGGATATTTAAAGAGTAATGCTGCTCCGCAGTGCTGCAGCCAGGTCTGCTAGAGCTCAGCTATCAGAGCCCAGGTCAGGTTGCTCTCTCACAGTTTGCTGCTGCACTTTCTGTTCTTGAATTTTCCTGTAATGTGCTTCTACTGCCTATTTTTGGTTTCTTTATAGCCTTTGCCACAGTACTACTGCAGCCTGACTGTTTGCCACAGGGGGTCTCCTCACCTAAACAGCGCTGCCTTTGGAGGTGTTCTGGAAGTCGTTTGCAGTGCTTTATGTGCAGTGTGAACAATGGCTGGCCTTTCTGCTCTGTTTCTCGGTGCATGATTGACCAGAAGTGGCTTATAATTAAGCTGTAAGACAAGGCAAGGCAAGGCAAGGCTCGTGTTCCTGGATAACTGAAGCGTGATGCAGGTGCTGGTGGCTGAGGCAAAAGGACAAAGGGACTCACTCCGGTGTAACCATCACCTGCCCTGATGCTCATTGCCAGAGCAGGCAGTGTTATAATAATACAGGCAGTAGTATAATAATAATGCTCAGAGCCGAGTACTTTGCACTTTCCATCCTCAAAGCAAACATTAACTAACTTGTTGACACGACCTCCCGCTGTGGGAGGCAAATCAGGGAGAGAGTTTTAAAAGCAGACTGGGTCCTCAGGGGAGAATTAAGAGGTAAGATAGGTAATGTTTTATCACACCCCCATTTTAGCACAGTGTAAGTGCCCAAAATGAAGCGTGTGAGTTGGATACATGCATTCCTTGCACATTACCAAGGCAGGGACGGTAGGGCCAGAAGGTCCAGCTGTCCCCTGGATGCCACGCTATTTCCCAGCTCTGCGATGCCACTTCCATGTTACTGCAGAGGTGTTTATACGCATCCGGGCGATGTTTTATGGTATGCATCTAGAAAAATTACAACATAAACATGTCTGTTCACAAAATGAGACTTCTACCTGGCAGTTTACAAGGATTTTGTAGCTTCTCTGACTTAGTAAATCTCACTACTTTCCCTAATGAGAAAATACCTCAAGTCTCCTGAGGGTAGGACTAATGTTCTTGGTAGAGAATATTCATTTTTTTTAAGGTTAAGTCTTTTGGAAGGAAAAAGATGGTGCTGTACCTGAGTAACTCACTGCATCTCACCTGCTTTTTAGACTCTCCTGAAAATCAGAAGTTAGAAGTGTACTCAGAAATTTTAGAAGTGATGTTTCAGGGCTCTTTTTGTTAGCTTGTTCTAAGTCTTGCTCTAAGAAACTAGGGAGGGTTAGGAGGTTGGCTGTGTTTTCACTTTTTGACCAGAGCTATGTGTGGAGGGGTGTCTCCAAAAAGTCTCTCTATAGGGTAGTACCCTTATAGGGAGGAAATACGCTGTTATCCTGATGGTAGGAAAGTTTTGCAGAAGTCACCTCTGGTTAGAGAAAAGGAAAGGTAGCGAGGAGAGGTGTACGAGGGAGCTGGTGTTGTGCAGCTCTCTGGGGGTTTTTGGTGCTGCTAAGTTGCTGTTTCTGCACTGTTATTGCTGAGTATGTGTCATTAAGCATCGAAGAGATGGCTCCTACAGACAAATCAAACTGAATTACATGAAGGCCCGTATCATGTCCGACACTTCGCTACCCCTTTGTCCTAGGCTCTTTATTGGAGAGGGATGGCAGCAGCCTCCCGAGTCCCCTGTGGTCAGAGCTGTGGTTTGAAGGAAATGCCAGGAAGATTTGTCCGTGCTGTCATAGAAAGTCTGGAGCCTGTAATCCTGGAGTAGATCCAAAACCTCCTGTGTTTTGTGCACAAGTCCATCCTCAGAAGGGCTTGCTGTTTCCTGATGCTGCTGGAAGAATGTCCCCTGCATGATATAACCAGAAGTTGTTAACTTTCACCAGGCTTTATCCAGATGTCAATTTACTCCCAGTACTCATGAGTGAGCACTGGGAACGGATGAGGTGGTTGATGTGCCAAATTCTTCCACGGGGCTTTTCGAGCCAGAGCTGGAATGGCATTCCCTGTTTAGGCAACATTTTTGAGGGAAGAGCGGAAGAGCGGGAAGACAGAATGCAGCAGCCTGGCTCGGCTTTCTTGCATTTGCATGTATTTTCTGGACAAATTTTCCTACTCTGACTCAACATTAGTAAATGTTGAGTTTTGTCTCCCAGTGTGTAATTGTTCTCTGCTGATAGAGGAGGAAGAAGGCTGTCGTCATATGCAGTTGGTGAAATG